ATTGTTCATTTAGCTGGTGGTTCAGTTGCTGGCATGCCTCTTGATGGTTACAATGTTTGGGACACTTTGAGCAATGGTGCACCGTCACCGAGGAAGGAGATCCTGCATAATATTGACCCCATGGATACTGACTGGAACACTGGCCATGGTCACTACAAATTCTGCCGACAAGCTGCCATACGAGTAGGTGACTGGAAACTCTTGACTGGTTGTCCAGGCAATGGAAGTTGGGTTCCTCCTCCTGAAAGTTTCAACCCAATTGTTGATATTTCACCAAATCTGCAAGACAACATCAACAGCACATTTCTGTTCAACATACGTGAAGATCCAGAAGAGAGAAATGAACTATCTGGCATATATCCAGATATGGTGTCTTCTTTGATTCAGAGGCTCAAGGATTATAATGCTACTGCAGTTCCTGTGCATTACCCAGACCCAGATCCTGCATCAAATCCTGAGCTGTATGGAAATGTCTGGACACCTTGGGTCCAAGATAACTAAAACAATAATATACTGGTGTTAAATATGCAGTCCCACGGACTGAAACGGTGTTACTATAAATATCTAAATTGAATGAAGATGGTCCCCAAGGGATCCTTCTATTTTGCTCGCATGACAGAATTAGTCTTAAAAATAAAAATATCCAAGGAATTTTCTTTTGAAATCAAGCATCAGGTTTTTTATGTATTCAATTCAGAGAGAACAGATGGCAAATTGTTGTTACTCAAAATATCGAAAAGTCATAACTGTTCATCAGTAGAATGTCTAAAATGTGTGCAATTCCACAATTGGTGTTGGCTCCATTAAATCCTATACCATTGTAGAACATTTTTATAGGAGCCACCCACAAATAATATTATTATGTACGCGCAGTTACTGAATGTGGTTAAATGTAATTTAAGTTAAGTTAAAAGTGAAACCATGCTAGTTAGCGACCTCCCCTGTCGTGGGCACACAGAGTGGTCAGGGGTCTGCAGGGGTTTGCATGATTTTACAGCTCTGCTTTTGAGGTCAACTCATTCTCAAGTGCGCCTTGCCTGTTTCGGTTAACTCCCTGCCCTCCCTCCCTCTCTGTGGTAAGTATGAGGTAAGTATCATTGTTCCACTGTTTTTCAGTGTGGCGGTGTCTGATGGTTGCTGTTCACCGGGTTGTCATGGTTACCCTGCACCATCTTTCTTGGCACCTTCCACAAGCTCATCTATTGTTGATGAGTTTAACAAGGTATTTGAATAGGAAAACAACCCTAAGAAAATTTAAGGCGTCAAGTAATAAACTAAATGCACACCTCAAATACACAACAGAGCACTCGCATATCTAAATAACATGAGGGCACACAACCTACACTAGCTGAAAGGATAATAAGAGGATTAAGTTAACAAAGGATATGGCAGCACCATTTAGCCATCGATGGCCAGTCTCATCTCCTGCAGTGTAGTTTGATTCTTGTTGATGAAAACCCCCCACTTGAAGAATTTGTTTAAGGATTTGAGAAGTAGAGTGGATTTAAAGCCTTGTTGATTTAGACGCAAAGAAAGTCAGCAAAGTCTATTAACAAAGTTCACCTTTGACATGCAAATCCTAGCATGTATATCTCACCAGTTGAAATATATAAACACCATAGGCCAGTTTGGTGGGGATGTTGCTGTCCATATGTGGAAAATTCATGATCCGGAATGCAAAGTCATCTCTTTTATTGTAGGTGCTTAAATAGAAAGGTAAGTTGTTGTCACCAAGCTTGATCCTTGCATCAAGGTAACACATTTAGTTCCAATATAATATATAAAATTGCCTGTGTAGGGATTTTGTAATGCTTTTATACTTTTCATCAACATTTTTGAAACTAGTTGTTATTACACTTATTATTAACTAAGGTATTTAAGAATTAAATATGAAACGTACTTCTGATGTACACTCTATATGAATATCATTTTGTCTAACTAAGTACAGCATATTTGCCTCTTAGAAGAACCGGTTTGTAGATGTGATAATTAACCTATATTTTCTACATTGATAATATTATTTGAAGTATATGATATTTACCAGACTCAATTCTCAGATCATTGTGATTGCCTGATCTTAGTAAATAACAAATATTTTGTAGCCTGCAAGGAAGCTCCATTTCAAGTTGTAAGCAACATGATTGGTGGGAGAATGCATCTCTTTTTGCATGCCCATGATATCCATCTAAGCGCGCTTGCTTAGATGGCTATTAACTTTGCAACTGCACTAAATGTATTTTTAAAAATAACCAATAAAACATTTTTTTCGGTTTTAACGAATAATGCCTCTTTTTCTTTAGAGCTGGTTTTGTGTAAAGAAACCTGCATTATAGACGTAATCTGATCTCAGCAAGAAGCGCAAAGATCTCTGGTTCACAGCAGTCTGTCTGTGTACAAGACCACCACCCACCCCCCCCACCTCCCAAGATACCAAGAGGGAGTGCTTTAGGAATTTTTGCGTGGAGATGTGTCGCTAGGACCCTGGAACCCTTAGTCTGTACCAAAGCTAGTTTAGCTGAATTTTTCTTTGCTTTGCTGGACCAAACTCTTAAAATCCTTCCTTATCCTTATAGAGTCCCTCTATTCCAGAAAATATCGAGGTTGATGATTCTTTTGCTATTAACTAGATTTTGGGTAAATTCTAATTTGCTCATTTTATTTTTTGAGAGTCCATTCAAGTTTCCTCTGTCTGGTCTAACTCTAACAAAATGATGCCCTATTCTAGACCCAAACTTCCTTATTTCTTTCATTTGCATTTATTTAAGACTCTGAAAAAGAGAGGCCATGCCTTTTAAAATATTGGAAACATAAAAGTATATATTCCTGACCCTAAAATTAGCCTTGCTTCTTTTGCTTGAAAACCATACCGTTCACAAGGGTACATAGCTGTACAGTCCACAAAAAAAAGAACAGACTACCGTTTTTCACATGTTCCGTTGCCACCGGAAATCGTCGACCGGAAACACCCCAAAAGCCACAACTTTCAACCGGATGTTCCCTTTTTATTTCCGGTATCAAAGGGGGTTGCAAAGTATCCTGGGTAATAGCAATTTCCCTTATTATTTCCACAGTCCAGTAGTCACAGCCAGCTTTCGCTATCTTTGCGCCAGAATGAGTAAGAAAACATGGCGATTTACTTGAATTCTTTGGTCCAATATGGGCTCGTATATTCAGCTTAAACACGAGAACTGTGTGGAAGATTTAAAAGCATCGGAAACAATGTCCACCGTGATCTCTTCGGGAAAAGCTTCGTCGCTTTCAATATCCGACGTTTTGAAGCAATTTCATACGGATCCTGTTCGCGGCTTGAGCTATGATGAGGTTGAAAGACGGCGCAAATTTCACGGTTTAAATGAATTCGATCTTGTCGAGGATGTTCCTCTTTGGAGAAAATATATCGAACAGGTACAGCTTGGAGTTCTATTTACTTAACCTATCATATTTTATATCAGTGCAGGTAGACACAGTCACTGGCAGAAATTTTTCGTTCAGCTGGACTTATGATTTTATAAACTGTTTTGGCCTGTTGTACGTACTATTCTTTTTAAGTTTACTTATTCATCAGCCTTTTCCGTTGCATTGATTTAAAATGCATAATTTCTAGGGCCGGTCAAACACTTCCTAACTCGAATTTACCTGTTCCCTGTTCCCCAAAATAGAAAAATGCCCTCATGCATTAATGACTTTACGACAAAATCTAACATTACATCGCGTAATTATCTGAGTTTTCAGTTCGATAGATCATATATTTAACAAACGATTTTTCCTAATTTTACTTATTAAAATTTTACTTGTAACAACTTGGTGTTATTTGAACAGGTTGTAATTTTTTAAATTCAAATTTTAGTACAATACATTGGCCCGTAGATAATGAGGTTATTACTACAGGGAATCTAATAGGGGTATGGTAGGGGCTTGTATCTTGCAATCTTTTTATGAGATTTGGAAAGAGAACCAGTTGTACTCTACTTCTCCTACTGAAATGCTTCTCAGCTGTGAGGGCCATTGCCTTCTTAGTTGTAAATGATATAATGATGCTATGATACTGTCATCAGAGCTATACTCAATATGGCATTTTCTCTTTTCCCCTGACAGCTTCAGAAAAATTAAACCACCAGTAATGAAGTAAATCAAAATAATATAAAAAATCTGGATTGTTTTCTCTTGAAAAGCCATGCAGATTGTATAAAGTATATTCTTTTCTCATTCTCGCTTCAAAAGAAGTAATACATTCCATAATTGAAGCCACTGAGCCATAGTTACTGAAACAAGTTAGCTATGACTACAGCTGTTGAATGTTTAAAAAGTAACCTTGTGGGTTTTAAAGTTAAAAAATATTATTTTCATGCAATTTATTGGAAAGTCAAGTCATACAAGTTAAAGTTGACTTTTCGTCACAGTTGTCCAGTTTGTAGTTTTGAAACTAGCATACATATATTTTTTCAAACAATTAATTAATTTTGCATAACAATACAAGTGTTGGGTCACCTGTGTTTAATCTGAGCCATGACAACCTTTCAAAAGGCTTTTTACCTCAGAGATACTTGTTGTTTACTGTCGGTGTTGATTTATATTCTTGTTTTTTGGGTTCATTTGTCTAATATTTTTATCTGTTATTAATCTTAGTAACAATATACCAGTAATAATACAAGGGATGTCTCCTTTTTAGTGATAATAAAGGTAGTCCTAACAAATAGCTTGGATCTAACCCTAAGAAATTATAATATTACTATTGCAAAATAATAATGCTATAATTTTTTAAGGTTGTGTTGAAACAGAAAGGTGACCATTGATCTAATGTTTAACTGATTGAGTTTATCTCTTGAATTGTTTCATGAGTAAATTCAAAGGGGCAATATGCTTTCCTCAAATAGAATGTCTTTATTTTTATGCACAAAGAGTGCATTAACCAGTATAGAAGTGTAGTTGACGAAGAAAGAAAAAAATTCAACTCTATTTTGAAAGAGTGTTTCCTTGTGTTGAAAGAAATAATAATATATAGAAATAATATTACTATTGAGAAATAATATTATTGTTAATTTTTAAAGGTTGCGTTGAAGGTGACCATTGATCTGTTGTTCAACGCATTGAATTTACCTCTTTAATTGTTTCATGAGTAAATTCTAAGGAGCAATACGCTTTCCTCAAATAGAATGTCTTTATTTTAGGCACAGAGAATGCATTAACTAGTATAGAAAGGCAGTTGACGAAAAAAGAAAAAAATTAACTCTATTTTGAAAGAGTGTTTCTTTGTGTTGAAAGGTTTTAACCAGTTCCAGGAGTTGAAAACAACAGCCAAGAAGAGTTCACATGTTCCTTTAATAGGATTTCTTTGTTTTTTAGACCTAGATGAGCTTTTGTTAAAAGAAAGTTGATTGAAAAACTCAGGATTAATAAACATACTGCTTTGATAAGTTTTTGTGAAAATAGCTGTTTAAGGCATTATCATAAGTATAGTACAGACAATGGTTAAGGTAGCAACTTTTTTTTGCATTCCGACATTCTTATCTGGACCATTAGGCACAGTTCAAATGTCAAACTTTTCATGTACATGTAATGAGCCTAATCCCTTCAATTAAGTACATGAAAAGATTGATGTTTGAATCAATATTATATCTGACAAATCTAATTTAGGTCCACTCATGAATAAGGTTTGAGGGAGTGACCTCGTTTCAAACGTCAAACTTTTCATGTGCCGAATCTAATGCACAAATTGCTATAATTTGTTTTGATTGGTAAGCATTGTAGATCATTGTACATTGTGAAAATGAATTGAATCCGACTACTAAATTAGATGTTTAAATAAGCCGTCAAATTTATAACGTTTAGGTCAACCCGAATAGGTATGAGTTTGGTACATGTAAAGTTTGACGTCTGAACTGGGCCTTACTTTATAACCTCGCCATAATGTGGTTTAGGAGTGAATACTTTACAACAAAAACATGGACAGCTAGTACCAGATGGTTGCTTTAATATTGTTTTGAAAAATGGCTGAAATGTGGAGGATGAGGATAGGAAATGATTAGTCTTAATATCATTATGAACTTGTATAGTCATATACTTGTGTTAATGTTTTCTTTCAGTTCAAAGAACCGATGATAGTGTTACTGCTTGCATCAGGCGTTGTTAGCATAATAATGGGGCAATTTGATGATGCTTTCAGTATAACAGTGGTGAGTAACCGTGGTAACAGTTTGATTAAATTGGATTTGGTATCTTTGACTAGAAATCCAGCTGTATGTGGTCAGTTTTACAATAGCTTCTTTCTAAGTACAATATTTATTCATTTATTTCTTTTCATTTTAAAATCTGCCACTCTGTGTAAGTATAATGACATACATGAACATCCTATGTGTTTGGCTTGGTTTGTCTAGTGGCTTTACACCCCAAGTTCATCTATTGTTGATGGGTTTAAAATAGAACAACCAGTGGCGAGGAAACCTTAATGAAACCACAGGGCTTATATTACATTAGGTTTCCTCACAAAAGAGACAAAAATGTAAGAATCACCATGTAGTGGATCTAAAGCTGAAATTGTGCTCTGAAAAGTATTGTATTTTATAAGTCAAGATGAGTCTATTTTTGAAGGATTGGAAGGGATGGAGAGTTAGTGATATCACTGCAAAGGATATTAAAAACACTTTGAGCCTTAGAAGGAGATCACAAATAGCCAGCAAAAATGAAGCTGCCTCTCATTGCTCCTCACCACTGGAGATGTTTCCATGGAGAGGGTGTACTGCCTAGTAATAGGCTAATGGGGTATGTGCTGCTGGATGGGGCTGCATTTTCACTACTGGATTGACTATGATGGGGCTGCATTTTCATTAGAGTTCCTAGAATGGAATCGCATATTTTGGGGGTAAGAAAATTTAGAAGCGGGTAGGCGTTGTGAGAGGCCAGCACCACATTTTTATTTACCCAGGAAATATTTAATCAAGTAGCCCCCCGCAAGATGTTTTATTAAGAGACATCTGTATTCTGGCCTCAAATATTTTTTGCTGATGATAAAGGTGGAAAATTAGCATAATGATTGCAAAATATCAGAAACTCATGCATTTTCTTAAATTTGCTTTGTAAACTTAAGATTTTATTTTAAATTTTTGGGCTAAATTATTTTGAACTGTTTGTTTTCAGGCCATAATGATTGTTGTCACAGTAGCATTTGTCCAGGTATGTGTTTTTGCTCACTAGTTCTAAAGTTGAGGTTCTATTGTGTATGAAAAGTAAAATTGACTAATTTTTATTTTTTGTTTCATCCATTTTTTTTAAGGAATACCGATCTGACAAATCAGTAGAGGCTATCAAGAAACTTGTTCCTCCTGGATGTCACTGGTAATAAAATAATTTTAAACCTGCTCTTATATGGCAATGTCAAAATAAATAGTCCACTAAACATGCTATTCGCCACTTTAGAAACAAGAAGAAAGTGGACTGAGTTAACTTCAAACGACAAGGACCAACAAGCAAAAATCTGTCAATACAGCGAAAAAAAACACCTTAAAATTAGTAAAGATGCCAAGTTTGATTGTGATTTGGTGAAAAGTAATGAATATATAGCCACACAAAGTAACTGAATTTTACAGACCTTTGCATGGTGCCCTGCAAACGTCTGTAAAATTTTGTAACTTTGTGAAGCAATATATCTTTACTCACTTCATCATATCACCTTTAAACTTGGTAAGTTTCCTAATTTTAAGTCACTCTTTCCGACAGTGTTAATGGATATAAGCTAACTGGTTTTTATCAAAACTTGAAAAAAAATGGAAGAGTCAATTTTTGTTGCCCCTTAGTTCATCTCATTTTACACACTGAACAGTTGTAAGGTTATAAAAGACCACCTATCTAAACAGTCAAAAGTTTTATATTTTATGAAAACTTGAAACCAAATAATGCTTTGAATCTTTACTGTGGCTCATTCAAGTTATAGCCCAGGCTGCTTTTATAAAATAACTTTATGTTTTGTATAAGATTACCGACACAGTAAACCATAGCTTTTTAACCAAACAGAACGCGCATACTGTCTTAGATATTTTATAAAAGCCAATAAATTCAAAATGCTTTTTGATTAGCACTGCTATAGCTTGTTTTGATACACTTTTGTTATTCCAGTCATGAGCCCCTTTTGGATATAAGCCTCCCTGTTTTTAAGCCATCTTAAAACCCGTTATGCAGATGTGTTTAGCCCAGGGCTTATAAGCGGCAGTTTACAGTAAGGCAAGTATTTGACAGAGAAAGAAGATGATTTCATGAGTGTGGCCAAGGGATTAATTTGCAGAATTCTTAACCCTGAGTCTTGAGTGTAAGTTCTGTTCTGACCAATGTTGTTAGCAGATGCCAACTGTGTTGTCAGCAATAAAAAATTGAATGCGGTCAGCTCTGTTTACACTGCAATTTTATTTTGTTATGCAGCGTACGTGAAGGCCAACAATCAGATTTTTTGGCTCGCAGCCTAGTTCCTGGAGATCTTGTTACTATATCAGTGGGAGATAGAGTTCCAGCAGATTTAAGGCTAATTGAGGTAGAGTATATGCACATATTAAATATTTGCTGTTTGGTGTCTTAATGGACACTCTTGTAAATGGACAGCTTTACTTAATATTACCATGAGAAACCCAAAAAAATCTGTAGTTTTACATGTTGTTTATAAGTGACCATTCAAGTTGTACATGGATGGGGACACCTTCCAGAAAAATTATATTAATTTTACCTTGATTTTAATGCTGTGTTCACATGGCACCAGACGAATTTTTGACCAGTTGAAAATTTGTACATTTAGGTGTACCGTTTGCACAGAACCCCACTATTTGTACAAAAATTTAAATGTTTAGTGCTTTATTAATTACTGTATTTCCTCAAATAATAGCCGGGGATGATTATTTCTTTTTTCGCATCAGAAGGGGGGATTATTCAAGGGAGGCGGTTATTAATATAGCTCACTGGAAGTCGTGCCCTCAATATTTTGTTTTATTAATTCCATTAAATAAAAAGAAAATTATCACATCAAATAAACTGAACATGGGCTTCCAAATTTGTTCCAAATTTGTTTCCTTGATACTTTTCAGAGCTTGAATTATTACAGATCAGTTTTGCTGTCCAGGGGCCCGTTTCTCGAAAGTCCCGATAATTAACGGGCCCGGTAAGCTGTTGCCATTTACATTAAAGACCGCGGTTTCAGTAGTTTTGCATCTAACATGATAAAACTATCAGTTAATAAAACAAAATGGAGTAGTTTTCTAGCCAGGACCCGTGCTCTTATTCTTTTTATTTCTACTTGAATATTTGATTTCGGGCCCGAAAAGTTACCGGGCCTTTCGAGAAACAGGCCCCTGATCAGATTCCACTTCAAAGTGACATGGAGGGGATAAAAGAAAGAGAAGATGGAGAGAGGGGTGGGGGCAATTAGGGGGGCGATTATTTGAGGGTGGTGATTAATCAAGGGACTGCTATTATTCAAGGAAATATGGTATGTATTTTTAGTACACATGTAAGTGGCCTACAGGAACATGAAAATGATAAACCATGGTTTGACTTCTTTTTTTATAGGCTGTAGATTTAAAAATAGATGAATCAAGTTTTACTGGTGAGACAGAACCAGCAAGTAAAACGACTGAGGTGATCTCTCAATCGAAAGCAAGTGGTGGCATCTCACAGAGGAAAAATATAGCATTTATGGGTACTTTGGTTCGTTGCGGCCGTGGCAAGGTGGGTAAAATCAAAAATATATAAATGATGCAGTAATGTTATAGTTGTCAACTTCATCTTCACTCACACAGATGATCATATACTAACTTACATGTAACCTTTAAAGTGAATCCTGGGTGCAAACCTTTCACTGTTCAACTTCTTTTTTGGAGAACATAATTTGTAAACATGTTACAGTCAAGGCAGGTCAAGCTTACCCCTCAGGATTCTATTAATGAATTGATTATTTAAAAAAAAGGATTGGTTAGTCGTTCCCGTAACTAGTGTCAAATTCAAATCAGCATTCCTGCTTGTGTAATGAGCAGTGAATATTTTAAGAGAACTTCTCTGTATTTGGTCAGATTGAAAATCTTTGAATAAATAAAATTGTTTCAAAGACATTTACATCAAATTCTGGGAAACTAAGCTGGTAGAAATTTCATAACTGCCTTGTTACACTTGCAAGAATGCAGAGATGAATCTGAAATCTACAGCTGCCAATGGATTCAACTTTCAAATTAATAATAAATTCATTAATGGCATCTTGGTAGGTATGCTTGACCTGGCATGACTGCACTGTTTATGTTTATTGATTTGATTGTGGGAGTTGTAGCAGCTGAGCAAACGCCTTCAACCTGATTCCCCTCCACATGTATTTGTACATATCAAATTGATCACACTTTACCCCTAAGTGTGATGAATTTTACACCAGTATGAAAGTCATTCAACTGTATCAGTACAAAACTATACTGTTATATCATGTTGATATCTATTAAATTAATACTGCTATTTTTCAGGGTATTGTTACTGGTACTGGTGAGAATTCTGAATTTGGTGAGGTTTTTAAACTGATGAAAGCAGAAGAGGTAAGTGCGTTTATCAACGTTAATGACCCTTTAATCCCCAACACTCACATGCAAATTCTCCAAACTGGTCTCTATGCCTTTCGATAAAGGGTAAGCTGAGAGGATTTGTAATTTAGGTGATTACTTCATTATTTTTCTCTTGATTGTGTATTGATGTTGGTTTTAATGTTAGGAGAAAATTGATGTTTGTCACTTTTTGGACTTAAAGAGTTAAACTCATTAACAGAGATGAACATCGGGGCAGGTGCCTGTTAAGGCTGGTGGAGCACTAAACTGCAGGCGAATGCAATGCGTAACCTTGACAACCCTTTGAGTGGCATCCACTCAGGCAGGCACTGTCACACTGCTAACCAGTGGAACCTACTTACCATATACTTACCATGGGGTGGGGGGGAGTGGGGGTAGGGAACAGAAAACACTTTGCAACCACAAACAACAACAGGCAAGGACACAGACATAAATGGCCTGACCTCAGGAGAAAATCTGTTAAAAACCCAGTTTATTACAATTTATTACAAATAGGTTGTTTAAAATTTATTGATCATTTAAATGAATATAAAGGATTTGAGGTGTATTAAGGTTGAAGAACCATGCCAAATAATGGATGGCAAGTCTGTGTATAATACGATATAATACTATACATGTAAGCACTACTTAATCTTCCTGTAGAATCAGCCAGGAACTTTTTTACTTCGCTCAATATTCACTTGTGGCTTAATTTACTGATAATTTATTTTTTTCATGTTCCAGCCTCCAAAAACACCTTTGCAAAAAAGCATGGACATCTTAGGAAAACAGTTATCTTTTTATTCTCTATGTATTATAGGTAAGGCTTTATTTTAGTTTAGGATTGTATTGATTGTTCTTTAACAAATTTTTAAGTTAAGTGATAGATACAAGTGATTGTACCGATCATTAATTAAGATCAATCATTTATCGAAAACCTGAAGCAACTCAATAATCAATATTATGCAAACTGTGAAATCGATTATCAGGGAAAAATAAAAATATATATATATATATATTGTTGATAGATAAAAGCAATAAAGCTTGTGTTTTCCTTTTTGATGGACTCATTATGCAGCTACAGTCCTTTGATAGTTAGCTCTTTTCTAATACATTCCATATGTTTTTGTCTAGCCTGTTCCTAGCCTGCGAGCAAACTCTCCTATTTGGGCAACCGCGCGTTCTCGTGAGACTTGTTTCACTCGCCCAAATAGGAGAGCTTGCTTGCAGGCTAGCCTGTTCCAGGCAGTAGACCCATTCCAGGTGTCAGATAGTGGGGATGGGGAAAAGACAAGTGAGCTGGAAATATCAGCAAGGGGGTGGGGCTAGGGGGAGATGGTTTCAACTCCTCTCTTCCTCTTCCTTTCTTCCCCTTTGCTTTTTTCCCTCCGCTCTTCATTTCTTGTCCTTTTCCACTATCTGGTTGCCTGGAGAAGGCTAGTCTTTGCTGCATTCTAAAACACGGCACAACAGCCATGCTTAATTGTCCTAACAAAATGATTGTCATCAATAAAAATGGCCCTCTGTCAAAAAACTCAAAAGCTTGTATTTCTTTGATTTGTACCTTGGTGGAAAATAAGGGAAATTTGCATAAGAAAAGTTGTCATTTTATGTTAATCCAATTATTTCCGATGATCGATTTAATCTCAGCTGATTCCCAACACTAATAGATATGTGTTATAGTTTCATGTGGTTGCCACCTTCTCTTTTTTGCTTTCAAAGCTCTCATTATTCTTCTTGGATGGCTTCAGAAGAGACCTGTCTTAGAAATGTTTACTATTGGTGTCAGGTTAGTGCAGTTCAGTGTACAGCTACTTACCCTGCGTAGCTGGCAGGATTAGCGTGAGAGTGCCCAGAAAGTGCCACGGTCATAAGAATCCCGCCAGCTATGCAGACTAATGTTCAGCTATTTCGCGAAAGGTTGTTGGAAAAAATGTGCAGGCGACAATCCTGAAAGGTAATTAAGGTTAATTAAAGGTTAATTTGGAACTACCCTATACCCTATTTTTTCTGTTCGGATATCTAAGCGGAACTTTAGTTCTCTCGAAAGTTTTAGGCACGTCTTTTTTGTCTCATGGCGGAAATTGTTAGCTATCTTGAAGGGTCCGGTCGAAAGTTCGAGGAAATGGAGCAGCCGTAATTTATAGAAAATTATAGGGGACGCCTTGTCTTTATATCGAAATTGTCTTGATAATGAAATGTGAGAAACAAATCCACCATCGTAGGAAAGAGAGTAGAAAAACTCCGAGTATCTGAGACAAATGGAACGGTATCCGGAAATTTTTTTAGCCTTTCTTGAACTTAAGTACCCTGCAAGCAGAGGCCCTTCGATCTTCCTAGATAAGTCTAGAAAGATCGAAGGGCTTCTGCTCACAGGGTAGAACTTAAGAAATTTTAAGGCAACATTTGCATCTTCGAACAGTTACCATAAAATTCCGAAAATAAGGCCCTCCATGTGTAAGCCCCTCAAAATATAAGCCCCCCAAACTCGTAACGCAAAAAGCCCTCCTTTAAATCGCCCCTCCGAATATAAGCCCCCGAGGGGGCTTGTACTTGGAAATTGCCCTCAAATACAAACTAAAATAAAGCAAATACGGTCAATTTCCTTTCAACTATACAGCTAGCCCAATCGATTTTGAAACGCAAATTTCCCTCGATAGATAAGCCCCTCCGAATATAAGCCCCTCCAAAAATAAGCCCCTCAAAAAGGGCCTTTGAAAAATATAAGCCCCGGGGCTTATTTTCGGAATTTTACGGTATGTCCCAAAAAAACGTCGTCATGTTCCCGGTAACCGGTCATTTCGCCCCGGTTGTTCGAGTCATTTAGCGCGCTTCAAATGTAATATTCCTTGCTCTAAAATAGGGGAGCGAAGTAACCGGGGCGAAATGACCGTAAATCGTGTTCGGTATTCCGCTGAGCTCTCATCACTAAACAACAGTTTTACAATTTCTTATCTTCAGTTTGGCTGTAGCAGCCATACCAGAAGGTCTTCCCATTGTTGTAACTGTCACACTAGCCTTGGGTGTAATGAGAATGGCTCGAAGAAATGCTATCGTAAAGAAGCTTCCTATTGTGGAGACGCTTGGCTGTGCTAGTGTGATTTGCTCCGATAAAACTGGCACTCTGACCAAGAATGAGATGACAGCAACACAGATATTCACTGCAGATGGACATTATGCTGAGGTAAGTTAATTTACAGTTTTTTGATTTTAGCTTGGTCTGTTCACAGACCCTCTGGCAGAGACGTTTAGATTCAAGGACGAGGACGACTATGGGGACGATATTACAGTCAAAGCAGGTCAAGCGTACCCCTCAAGATTCTATTAATGAAGTGATTATTTGAAAAATGAATCCGTCAGTCGTTCCCGCAACTATAGTTTCAAATTCAAATCGGCATTCCTGCATGCGTAATGAGCAGTGAAATATTGTAAGGGAACTTCTCTGTATTTGGTCGGATTGTAAATCTTTGAATGGATTAAATTTCTTGGAAGACATTTACCGTACATCAATTTCAGGGAAACTGAGCTGGTAGAAATTTCGTAACTGCCTCGCGTCAGTGTCGCGTGTGAATTCGAGGCTCATTACACATGCAAGAATGCAGAGATGAATGTGAAATCTACAACTACCAACGGATTCAACTTTCGAATAATAAATTCATTAATCGAATCTTGAGGGGTACACTTGACTTGGCTTAACTGTAAAAGGAAATTGTTTTCGCGTGTGCTCAAACAATCGGCAACCCGGAAGCTTCTTCATACTTTTTTTTCTGCGGAAAAGTTAGCATGGTCAGTGCTCGACTTTCAGAAAAAAATCTTGGGGCCAGCTGGCCCCCAAGTTTTCATTTTTTGTCGCCAGAACAAGTATTCTGGTCGCCAAAAATTATATTAATGGATTTAGTTTTGTGAAGGATAACGGATTATCGTTAGTGCACGTTTTCCCAAAGAAGAAAGTCACCTATCTTGGGGGCCAGGTTGGCGACCAGGCGTGAAAATTTGGTCGCCACGGAGTAAAAGCTGGTCGCATTGGCGACCCCTAAAACTCGTAGTGGAATGACGACGGCTACCTAACCTCGTTTCAGGGTTCTCTCTCTTGCGAATCTTTTTTTTCTTTCTCTTGATAGTTTTCTTGGGAGGAGGAGGAGGAGAAGGGGTTCGTGACACCCGGTGTGATGAATTGAGGATTTTTTTTTTTACCTTTTTGATTCTTTGTAGATTCCAAAGCTGATTTATTTAAACTCTTTTTCCAGGTTTCAGGAGTAGGATACAATGGGTGTGGCAACGTGTATATTGCGGGCCACGCTCTTACACCAAACTGCAACTTATCCATTACACAAGTCCTTGAGGTCAGCTTATCTTGATTTTTCATATTACTAAGGCCACAATTCAGTGCTTTAGATAACAGCATACAGCCAATGGCCTATTAACAAACGCCTCTTAAAAAGGATCACCTTCCTAAAACCGTCTTAGCCTGCAAAGCCGGCGAACCAGAAATCTAGGTAGGAAAGTAAGAACAACCGTGCTCGTTGATCGCGAGGTATGAGGACGCGCGCGTGTACTTCTCTCTCGCGCGCATCACTCGTGCGCTCCAAATCCTCACGCGCCTGCCACGCAGGTTACTATCGCCTTTGCAAGACAGTCCTCTAATACTGTTTCCAATCGTTTCCCTCTATGAGCAAGTCGACATTGTTTTATTGGTAACTTTCATTTGCAAGCACTTCCAATTCAGGCTTTCTTCAATTATCGAAATTTCACGTATGTATTGCAATACTTGACCATGTAACAATTTAGTCTGCGAGAAATTTCCCCATTTCGAGTGGCGAGCAAGGGTGATCCACGAGAGAACGCGCGAACGAGCGAGGGCCCCTCTCGTGTCTCCTTGCGTGCAGAGCGCGTGCGACGTCTTACGATCTCCCCCAAATGAAGAGCTTGCTCGTAGGCTAGAAACAATAGAAAAACAGGCTGTTACAAATACCGTCTTCTGATCCGCTATTGTATTTCAGGTTGGTTATTTGTGTAACAATGCACATATCCAGAACGGATCACTTTTTGGTCAGCCAACAGAAGGTGCTCTCATAGCCGTAGCACAGAAGGTAGAATCTTACTAGTAACATATTCTTACTCCCTGTAATGCACGTGAGATAAAAAGGGGTTAAAATGGTTGCTGTCAACAGGTGTGGATAGCAGTACATTCACATGCTTTGAAGGCAGTGCACGGCATCATTCCTGGGGAGGTGGGAGGGTGGGTCGTTGACCGCCCTCTGAGATGTGCACACAATAGGAAAAATGGTTGTAATATATACAACGCTTGGAATTGTGGGATATCTTAATTTTATGGAAATAGCCTTGTTTTGTTTTAATTTTTGAGAATTGTAGGAAAGGACGTTTCATGGAGTTCTGTCACAAAATTTAACCCTATTCAGACGTTCGGAATTGACCACCAAATTGAGCGAAACAAACAAAAATAACCGCTTAAAATAGCATATAAAGTAGCCCCTTTAAGTTCCTTAGCGAGTAAAGTTTGCAATAATAATTTAAGTAAAATGGATCTTACCTTTGCAACACAGTCGTACTTTGTGTTACATTTCAAGCCTGAAATAGCAGCATTGGATCAATAATTGGGAGCACTATTCAGTGATGATTAGAGCTTTAATTTAATGTATTTTTAGCTCTTTTTTGTCTGTTTTTGTTCTCCTTATTATACTTTTTTTGGGGAAACTGCCCACCTACCCCTCCCCCTACGCCAACATTACCACTTACTTCTCACTTAGGGCAAAATGATGGCTTCGGGGAGGGGTAGGTGGGCAGATCGCCCCATGTCAAGTAATCCAAGACAGTCTTGGATCCTGGATTCCAGGTACTGGACTTCGGATTCCTTGTCAGTGAAACTTGTATTCCGGATTCAAATTGTTAGCGGGCTTCCAGATTCCAAGGTTCAGGATTCTGGATTCAACAAGCAAAAATCTCCCGGATCCCGTATTCCAGATTAGCTTACATGGGATTCTAAGAGATTCTAAGTTCTCTTAATAGTGTCACTTTCTTTACAGCTTGGTATTGATGATCCAAGGGATATGTATACACGCGTGGATGAGCTTCCATTTAGTTCAGAGAAGAAATGGATGGCTGTGAGGTACAGAAAACAGGTAAGTGATACATAACTCAGTCGTCAGGGAACGGTTGCTTAAAACGGCTATGTTGCGTTATTTGCTATATTTTTAAAAGGCTAAAACTTGTCTATGCATCGATTGAATTCGCAAAATAATGGTCCGGTTGTGTTTTTTAAGATCATATTATTTAGGCGTTGAAACCGTTTCCTGTCATCTGTTGTTACGGATGGCAAGGATGGAAGTGCATTGGAACCTGAAAAAGTTTATCCAACTTAGGCTGCGTCCACATGAATCCGTATATTTTGGTAACCGCCGATTCGAAAAATAATGGTCCAGTTTTGTTTTTCAAGATCACATTTAGGCATTGAAACTGTTTCCTGTCATCTGTTGTTACGGATGGCAAGGATGGAAGTGCATTGGAACCTGAAAAAGTTTATCCAACTTAGGCTGCGTCCACATGAATCCGTATATTTTGGTAACCGCCGATTCGAAAAATGATGGTCCAGTTTTGTTTTTCAAGATCACATTTAGGCATTGAAACTGTTTCCTGTCATCTGTTGTTACGGATGGCAAGGATGGAAGTGCATTGGAACCTGAAAAAGTTTATCCAACTTAGGCTGCGTCCACATGAATCCGTATATTTTGGTAACCGCCGATTCGAAAAATAATGGTCCAGTTTTGTTTTTCAAGATCACATTTAGGCATTGAAACCGTTTCCTGTCATCTGTTGTTAGGGATGGCAAGGATGGAAGTGCATTGGAACCTGAAAAAGTTTATCCAACTTAGGCTGCGTCCACATGAATCCGTATATTTTGGTAACCGCCGATTCGAAAAATAATGGTCCAGTTTTGTTTTTCAAGATCACATGTAGGCATTGAAACCGTTTCCTGTCATCTGTTGTTACGGATGGCAAGGATGGAAGTGCATTGGAACCTGAAAAAGTTTATCCAACTTAGGCTGCGTCCACATGAATCCGTATATTTTGGTAACCGCCGATTCGAAAAATGATGGTCCAGTTTTGTTTTTCAAGATCACATTTAGGCATTGAAACTGTTTCCTGTCATCTGTTGTTACGGATGGAAATGATGGAAATGGATTGAAACTGGAAAAGTTGATCCAACTTATGCTACTTCCACACGAATCCGTATATTTTTGAGACCGCTTTTTCACGAAACGGTCCTCCGTCCTCACGAAACCAGTGAATCCGGCCACCGAAACCGCATTGTTTTGAAACCTCTCTCCGTTCCAGAGCGGTTTAACCCTTTAAGCCCCAGTATCCACATACAAATTCTCCAGACTGATATTCATACATTTCCTTAGACATAAGTTAAGAGAGTTTAATAAAACATCAAAGTATTTTCTCTTTGGTGATCATTTTATATATTCTCATAACCTAATCTCTTGACAATGTATCGGTGTCGTTAGGAGAAAATTGATGTTGGTCACTATTGGGACTTAAAGGGTTAAGGCCCCGTCCACACGAATCCGGGTAAAAAAATATGCGGTTTCAGAACTGTGCGGATTCGTGTGAACATGGCCTTACTGTAACAGTAAAACGCAAAGGTGTCTCGTACCACGTGAATTGAAACGCATAGACCCCGCGGAAAATTAAGGCCTAGGGACGAGGCAAATGCACCAGCACTAGCGTCTTACCACGGCGCCACTCATGCTCCCGATCACACCAGGACACATTTATGTGGAGCAAAAAATGTTTATTTGAGTAGGCACCCTGGTGAATGTCATAAATCCAAGTGAAACTTAGGGCGCTTTCCATTTGTCAGAACTGACCGGCCAGACCATTCCCATCGCAAAGATAATTTCCCTTTTAACCAATACTCTCCGGCCAGATCTGTCAAATCTAAATAGTATGCACGAAGGAGATGGTTTTTCAACAAAAACTCTTGCAAAAAGCTTATTTCATTTTCAAACTGACTGGTCGGGAATGGTCCGGCCGGCCAGTTCTGACAAATGGAAAGCGCCCTTAGACAAACCAACCTGTAGGACTTACATCTTAAAGGTCAGTTATATAAACGGAGTTTAGCCAGTGTTTAACGAAACCGCGTTCTAAGCCATTTTCGGTTTGCCGAACGCTTTTATATAAACACCATTTATCGTGAACAATTTCATAAAAGCATATAGTGTAGACTGGAAAAGCATTCGTCTTCTTAGAAGAACCCATTAGGAAAGAGATCTGGAAGTCCAAAGATTTCTTAAACCGCGGTCCAGGTTAGACTTTGTTTAACTAAGTCTTCATTCCTCTTGTAGGATTCTTCAGAGATGTATTACATGAAGGGAGCGCCTGAAAAGGTGTTCCAACAGTGTACATCGTACTACAAACAGGGTTCAATTGTTCCTCTGGTTGCTAAGGACTGGGAAATGTTTTCTGATGCTGTGGCAGCCATGTCATCCAAGGGGCTTAGAGGTATGTCCCTAAGGGTTTTATTGCAGTAATCTTTCATCGGTGGAGTTCATTGTGCACTTATCGTGTCGTGTGGGGGTTTTGTAAGGGGCGGAAGAAGGGGAATTAGTAGAATTACCTGATGCCAGAGAATCTTCGTATGTTCGTGTAGCCTGTAGCACAGGCGTTGTGTTTCCGCGTTTTTTAGGCAAGTGATGGCCAGCACGAGGTAGGCGTGGAGCGGTGGACAAGCGCAACAGGAAAAGGCACCCTCCACAGTCGTGTGCTCCACGCTTGCCTCGCCTTTGCCCTCGCCCGCCCGAAAAACCCCAAAATTATGGCCCGCTCCGCTGTAGGCTAATCTTGAAAAGATCCTATTGTAGCTACGATTCGATATGGTTTCATACACTTTCGCTAAGTGTTGGGAAAGTGAAATTTATCGGCCGATTTTGACACTGTGGAAATGCTCACTTTCCGTTTTGAACCAAAACACCAACTTTAGGCCGACTGTTAATCAGCGTGGTCAAAACGGGCGTTCCAAAAGTTATGTTTTTTGTACCGGCTTCGTCTTTTCGAAACACTCAGCATTGTCATTTCGTTCATAGTGAAATTTCATGTCAAACTGCGAAAGCTGAGCCATTAGGAAGCTTAAGCAAAGACGACGAAAACTTCTTTTAAAAAGTCAATTCGCGCTGTTTCAAAATTCATCGCCCTTATTCTATGTCGTTCAACTTGTCAAATGTTGGCGAGTTTTTCTGGAGTTGAATTCTAAAGGACTGTATCCAAGTTAGAAAAGAAATTAGAAAATCGTTTTCTTGTGTTCACGTCCGACAGAAAACGTACATTTGGCAGTTTCACGTCGTAGTTGTGCAACGACGGGGAAGAAATATGCAAAAAAGTGTGATGCATGTTTAAGGTTGTCGTTTTGCTAATCTAAACCTACTGCTTTTTCGACGCTCTCATTACTGTCGTTGTCGTCGTTGCTTCACCTCCCTATTTCCTCTTAAGTTACACCGCGTTGTCGAGAAGGTCGTGGAAATGTAACCAGCGCCAAAGCGCTGGAAAATTAGACACGCCACGACTGGTTTTATTTTCCGATTGGTTGAGAAAGTGGCGCGAAATTTATCGGCCAATCACAGAACGTGGCAATACAACTTCAGTTGTGTTTAGCGTTGATCTGAAAGGTACTGTTTTCTGTGTGGTTTCTTTTACAGTAATAGCACTGGCTATGGGGCAGGAGTTACATCAGCTGTCTTTCCTGGGTATAGTAGGGTTAATGGACCCACCCAGGCCAGGGGTGCGTGAAGCTGTACACACATTGTTAAACAGTGGAGTACAGGTCAAAATGCTCACAGGAGATGCACGCGAGACTGCTGTTAACATTGGTGAGTGATTTTGCATTATTTACGGTGAATCAATTTTTGGCAAACTTTACTTATTGGCTGTTTTAAGAACTTATAGGAACTTTAATTTTGAAATAACGACGGAGAGTTCCTTACTCTCGTTTAGGAACAGATGCACCTTTTACATACAAGATATATTTTAACAAACGTGTCTCGACCGTTTTCAAGAAGCAGTAGGTTCATAAGGCTAGACTATCGCCATATCCGTTGGAGTTTTTTTTTTTTCAGATTTCCAGTTTTTCAGTTTGAACAGAATTCGTTTTCACTTCCAGCTTTTTTTGTTGTTGTTTCTTGTCAACCGGTTAAGCTTGCTAAGCTTTTGTCAAGGTATTCATCTCCACAAGGATACTCTTCAAAGACCTAGCTGTTAGGCTCGATTACCAGCCGCTGTTCTGGAATCAGCGGGAAAGGGACGGAAATCGAGCCTATTTAGCAGTTTGTTGTCGAAAAGCTATCTAAAACCCTTCTCTCTCTCTTTTTGTTTGTTGCAGCGGAAATCCTCGGTCTTGATGTTAATGGGCGACAAGCCTTGTCTGGAGAAGAGCTAGAGGCGATGGATAGTTTTCAGTTGGGAGACGTTGTACATGAGGTAACAAACTTTTTCCTTCATCTTACGAGTTCATAGTTATGCAAAAGTAATTTTCTTTACTTAGAGCGTTCACAGATTTTAGCTACTTGAAACGCACCGTTGGTTACAGAAGAAGTATTTTCTGGCCTTTGTCGTCTAGAGTAGGAACCACTTTCTGGCCAAAATTTGTCTTATTTTGTGAGAAACTTGCAACACAACGGGTGGATGTAGGAAACACTGGAGTGGAGTTGATGCCAGAGTGAAATACAAAAAGATGCTACGAGTAGACTTGTTTCTCAAGCGCCGAGGCCGAGAAAACGCTCCGCGCATGAATCAAACCTTGAGTCTCCAATTAGATGAAGCAGTTCTTTAGGATCTTGTAAATAAAGCCTTTGTTACTGCACTTTCAAACTCGAAAGCGAGAATGTAAGTTATTTCCGAACTCAAATGCTAATGATTTAATCATCTCAACAGACATCGGTATTCTATCGAGTCAGCCCAAAGCACAAAGTAGCTATTGTTAAGGTAGGTGCTTTTTAAAATCATTATGGCGTTCACCATTTTCACTTAGACCATAATGCACCTTGCCCTTTATCGTTTATCGCCAACTTTCACACTCTTTGAAAGGCTTCCGGTCCAAAAATACACGCCTTTCAAGACGTTAAATACAGTGAAGTTTTGTACCTTGTTGAAGACTCAAGACCCTGAAAACCATACCCTGTTCACCAGCATATACCCGTTAAGGCCAAATGACGGAGTGCTTTCCCCCCTCACCCCCCGGGAGCGCAGTCCAGTGTAAAAAAACTGGTACCAAAAGTGCTTCCGTTAAGAACAGCGAGTTTAGAGTGCAGTGGTACCTCGATATGACCAAGGGCCAAGGGACTGGCAAAATTTGTTCGCTATGACGAGGTTTTGTTGTATCGAGGTTCTTTTCCATACAATTTGCTATTACTGGGTAAGGAAAATAGTTCGTTATACCGCGGTTTCACTGTAGTAAAGAGCTATCAATGCTCACTCTGTTTCCCTATCGACGTTACCTTTATAGGAGCTATCAACCAAGAAGGTTTTAAAAGACTGTTAGCTGCATTAAGCATTTCTCACTTGCTTTGCAGGCTTTACAGCAGCGTGATCACGTGGTGGCTATGACTGGTGACGGCGTAAATGATGCTGTTGCCCTTCGCCGAGCCGATATAGGCGTGGCCATGGGTCGAGCGGGGACTGATGTGAGTAAGGAAGCCGCTGACATGGTTCTGGTGAATGACGACTTCTCTACCATCTTGGCCGCCATTGAAGAAGGCAAAGGAATTTTTTACAACATACGCAATTTCGTTCGGTTTCAATTAAGCACGTGAGTGAAGTTTAAATCTATTAACAGTCCGAGGCAGGGGAATGATGTGAATTGCGTTCATGAGAATCCGACGCAGGATTAGTCGCTTGTATTTTGCTTTTCCTTGATCACGTCATAGACAAGAGAAGATAGGGGTTATAAGAGATTTTTCTCTTGTTGGAACATGGTTTTCACTCTCTAATCAAGCTATGAAATAAGCAACTCCGAGTATTGAAAGGTTATAACGAAAATAACTAATAGATTTCTTAAAAATTGAACCGTTATGCTAGGTGTTCTCTCGAAAAGTCTATTTCGACACTGAACACTTCCAATGAAGTTTTACAAAAAATGTATGGCTCATTAGCGTTTTTGCTATTCAGAATTTCTGCAAATGTTGTTGACTCATATTTCCTAAATTTTTGCTTATGCGGGAGAGCGAAAAAATGCATAGTTTATACTCAGGGTAACTAGCTCTTTCAACTCTCTATTTCCTACTCATGGATACTGCAGCGTCTTCGATGGGTTAACTGTTATGCTAATGACCCAATATGCAAACAGTGGTGTCCAACCTCAGTCCCAGGGTTCTCTCCACTTCACAAGGACGAGTAGGAGAGAAACCTAGGTGCGAGGTTGGGAATGGCGTCAAGATGAATGCGTCCATATGAAGTGAATTTCTGTTTCTTTCTGAGTCCTGAGCTCACTGCATGCCAACAGTACAAACAGTTTTTACCAGAGAAAGACAACACCAACCGGTTCCCTAGGAAATGACGTGTGAGAAACGAGTGCAGAATTCCATACTGATAACGCAGCACTACCCTGATCTGGATAGTGCTTCTGATTGGTTGCACATTTGCTTTAACCAATCAGAAGCACTACCCACAACTGGGTAGTGAAGCATCCTCAGTGTGGAATTTCTACGCTCTTTTCTCAGGTGTCATTTCGCGGGGAAACTGTTGGTTGGGTCGCAAAATGTCGGCTGTTTTCTCAGGCTACATTTGTGGCGGATCTCCAAGCCAGTAAAAGTGTCTTGAAAAGTTGACATGGAATCTTGAGGTTACTCACGATCTTCTTTGTTGTATGTTGTTTAGGAGCATTGCAGCAATATCACTTATCAGTATCTCCACGTTCTTAAAGCTTCCTAACCCGCTAAACGCCATGCAGATTTTATGGATCAACATTATAATGGATGGGCCTCCTGCCCAGAGGTAAGATAAACACGATTAAAAAAGTTCTTACAGAGCAGTCTTACCTTGCAATCTCATTGAGCAGTGATTTTCTTGAAAACAAATAAGCAAAAGCCCCAGCCTGGGAGCATTGGAAAAATGAATAGATCTTCAGGTTTTTGAAGCCGTATCATGTAAACCCTTTGTTCGTGTTTTATCTAGCGTGAGTGGCAGGCGAAAAAGGAGAGGGGAGGAGGGGGTAAAAAAACGCCAAAGGAAAAACGGGGAATGGCTACCTCGCCCCCCCTCCCCCTCTCTCTCTCTCTCTTACGCCTGCCACACAAAGGCCTGCTTGTGTATGAAACTATATTTCAACGAGTGAGGGAGGAAGACTCACAGCATCGCATTTATCTATTGTCCATGTCCTTTTTTGCAGTCTCGGTGTCGAACCGGTGGACCGTGACGTCATGAATAAACCCCCGCGAAACGTAAAGAACCCGATGATTACCAGGGTCCTTATTCTGAATGTTCTCCTAGCCGCCAGCTTAATCGTCACTGGTACATTGTGGGTCTTCTGGAGGGAGGTAAGGACGTACGATATAAGGTGCTGATATCCGGGGAAGGGTACTTCCGTGCAATAGGCTATTCGGGATGTACCGCTGGATGGGGTCACATTTTCACGCCTGGATTGACTATGAAAAGGGAGATTTTCAAAAGAGGAATTAGAATGGGGTCATTCACTTTCGGGACGTTTTTTTATAGTGAGAATTTTAAAAAAAATTGTGGCCTCATTGTAGGATGACTGACGTACTTAAAAGGCTTTATAAAAAAATGTCAATAACATTTGCCCAAAAATGACTAAGATGGGGTCTATAACGGGCCACCAAATACACTATAATGGGGTAGGGGTTGTGAGAGGCCAGCGGCGCATACCTAGCAAAAATTGATCCAAGTAGCCCCCTCCCTCGGGATATTCCACTCCTGCAAATGGTTGATCGAAGAAAAATGCTTTGTGTTTGTTTGTTTTATTTTTTTTGCAGATGAGAGACAACATTATAACTCCACGTGACACTACTATGACATTTACGTGTTTTGTGTTCTTTGATATGTTCAACGCGCTTAGCTGTCGATCACAGGTCAGTAAATTTTCTTCTTTGGTCAACAGTTTTAAGCGGCCGTTTTCAAGCCCATGATCCCCTTTAGCACAAACGCATCAACACGTGACCAGCTTGTCGCTCTACCCTGATCCGCAGATACAAACGGTGTTCAATGTAATCTGGATGCAACGGAATCCTGCGTAAAAAGATAGATATACAGCAGGTTGTCGGAAAAAGTGCACGCGACAATCCCGAAAAGTGTTGTGGGTGGCTTTAAATTCAGTGTACGTCAAAGAAATTTAAAAGAATGGCACGAGAGGCCATGGACGTATGTTTGCAAGCGTTAAAGGAAAGCAACAAAAGTAGCTTAGACAGCTACAGTGTCAGGAACAGGGTATTGCTTCTGATCATATCCCATATTGCCCTTCGGGATTGTCGCATGTACATTTTTTCCGACAACCTTTCTCGAAATAGCTGTATACTTCAGCTTAGTTGAAGTAAAATGTATGGAAAAGAACATCGGTATAACAAAACAACGTTATAGCGAACATATCTCGCCAGTCACTTGAATCTTCGTTCTATCACGGTTCTAGTGTATTTAGAGCCCGAGAGGAAGGGGGGGGGGGGGCGTGCGAACTCACGGGAACTTTGGGTAGATGTGTGCCGGCGAGGCTTTCGAACCCTGACCCTATTGAATGCAAAAATCGCACCCTTCAAACTATACCTTGTTCAGCGGCAAATACTCCTTTGGGCCAATTAAGGGAGTGCCCTCCCCCCCCCCCCCCGGGATCTCGAGGCCTTTGATAGGAAGTTTTAGGGCCTCTTTATATGAAGCGATCCAGGCTGGCCCGCTATACCGGGCTCCGCTGGCGCGGGATGCCTTATTAGCTTTAAAAACTGTCATCGTGTTTATATGAGAAAGCAGGCTGACCAGCGTGCTGGGATTTCGGCTCGAGTAATCAAGATCTGGGCTATCGGGCCAGCTTGCCTTTTCTCATAAACACAACGCCAAAAACAAGGCATAAGCCGAGCCAGGCGGGAACGTGGGCCAGCTCAACTCATGTAAACAGCCCCCTTGCAACGACGACAACAACGACGTGCAACGTAAACATGTTTTGACACATTTGTTTGTGCATCGATTACTCACAATTATTTAAAAATCCTTGTGAATGTCTTGTCTTTCAGGTTAAATCTATCTTTCAAGTGGGTTTCTTCACAAACCGTATGTTCCTGTATGCTGTAGGCGGCTCTCTCATGGGACAGATGCTCGTTATTTATTTTCCTCCGCTTCAAGCTGTTTTTCAAACCGAAGCTCTGTATTGTACGGACATTTTGTTATTGATATCGGTCGCTTCGTCCGTGTTTATTGTAGATGAGATCAGGAAATTCGCAGTAAGGACACGTTTAAAGCGAAAAGAACGTTCAAAGGAATTCCAATTCTCTGTATAGCACTGGATTCCACTGTAGTTCTAATCACGTGGCACGGATGGAGGGAAGGAACAACAACGTAGAGATTGCATTAGAGGCACAGCGCACGGAGTGCATTGAAGTGACATCGCGATGTTAATGAATGAAAGAAAAATTATGGGGTATAAGAGCAGCAATTCATTGAGGAAGTTCCTACTGAGGATAACAAACAGACGGGGTAACTTTGCATATTGAGGGTATGGTTTGGCTGAGGAAGGCTCGTGTTTTCCAAGAAGCAGTCTGGGAAGCCATGAACAGTCAACGATGAATATGACGTAGAACTGGAATTCATGTGACTCGACTGAAAGAATAAGCATGACTTGATAACCCTTTCACTTCCAAAATCAGTCGCAGAAACAGGCAACAAAGTTTTGAGTTTGTAGATGAAACCCTTGGTGTGACCATTGAAGTGAAACCTCTTTGGCAGTACTTTCACATGGTACTATTTAGATGGTACGAAGTTCAAACATTTTTAGTCTGGATGAAATCCTGTGGTGTTACAATTCAAATTAAACCTCTTCAGTTGTGCCTTTAGATAGTTGTGCTTATTCTCCAGTATTTTTTCAAAATAAAATTAAGGGTTTTTATCAATCTCAGAAATCTTGAAGGTGGAAGGTTTATAAAGGAATAATGTTTTACATAAGGAACAATGAGACTAGTAAATATAGTATCTTGAGAATAAGAAGAAATACGAAATGATTCATGAGCTTTCATGCGCAAAATCAAATTTAATCAACTGTATTAGTTTGTAATTCAACGTGTAATCCAGGGTAATCTTTTTATCTTCGAATATTTATGTACGTTACACTGAGCGAAAAGAAGGATCTTAAACCTTATCAATACAATGTCGAGTCTGTATATATACTATGACAACAATCTACATCAATTTTTAGATGTCATACAGCCCACTGTGCTATCGTTTTCGCGATCAAGGGGCGCGGCATGGGTGATGGGAAGGAGGAAAGAGGGGAAACCTTCCCTTCCGTTTTCGTCCTTCCCATCACCCCTCGCGGTCCGCCCCCCGCGTGTGACTCTCGTGTCTAAATAGATAGAGACGACTTGGGACGAGTCAATCCGCAGAGGGTAAGGTAGGCGCATTTTATTCCGGAGGCGGGGTGGGAGGGGTAGAGCTAGGGCGCTCATTTATTTAATATCAGACAGTACATACATTCCCGTGTAAAACAAAATAAAACCTCTTCGTAACGTGACGCTGATTTGTAAATAAACGTTATCTTTACTCCTGTACCCGAAAAAACACGCAAATCCTCTCCCCAACGACAAGAAAAACCAGCAGTGAAGATTATGCTATTCGCAGCCATTTACAAAGAAAGCCGAAAATACTCCATCTTTGACCCAAAATGTCCCGATTTCACCACGAACAACGGTTAAACATTAAAAATGTTAATAAAACGAATTTTATTACATTTGCGTTACTTATCTTTGTATAAATGAACATTTCTTTGAGATCTATATACAAGTTGGTGGTTTTCCCACAGGGAAAATGAAATTGAATTTTCATTGGGTACAAGGTTTGTGGCGATAGTCATATCCTCACTGAATCGTGTTGTATTTCTGTAAATGCTGAAGTAAGTGTCTTGAGCGCTGTTCTTGGGTCTTCTTGGTCAGTGCGTTCTCTTGCAAAAGAATGCGCAACTCATCCACTACTTCTTGAACCTGAAATCAGGACAGTAAGAACACTGGTCATGGGCTCCTGGCGGCGTAAATTAAATACACTGAACCATTTCCAGTCAAAGGACCATAATTGGAACCTTAAGTTTAATCTTTCAATGTTTTGCGCCCCTTGTTGGCGACCACACTGCACTCACTTTGAACTCGCAAATTGCATATCGTTTTCGACCTCTTCCCGGTAAAGCCTTTTTTGGTCCCCGCGACCCTCTTAAACGACCACCTCTTGTATAAGCCCACTACTGACGAGGTTCGACTGTATTATTCTACCGTCTACGATGGCCCACAACTCAGTGTCACGGCAAATACAACAGTTCATGGCAAAACAAACTTTACTTACAGGAGGCGCTTGAACAGGATGAGAAATGAGGGAATTCGAGCGGGTGATAATGCAAAGTTACATAAGCAAACATGGGCAAAATAAAATTAATTCAGTTTGTGTCTCACCTTAACACCAGCCTCGTCTCTCCCTTCACCTTGCTCCTTTCATCGGTTACTGTTGGAATTGATTTGTTGTTCGTAAAACCAGTCTTCCTGTCTCTCTACTGCAGAACAGAAAAAGCAAAACAGAAGACCTCATTGTTTCGTGTAAAAGAGAAACCTTTACACTAGAGTTCACTATAAATGAAAAAGCCAAAAACAAAATGTTAGAATATTTTGCCTACTTTACAGCACACTATACTACAACGGCTACAAGCAGAGAAGTGCCCGATCGAGAGACCGGTAATTTTTTAATTTTCTCCCTCGCCCGGGGAGGGGCGGTCATCCAGACCCTAAGATAAGGAGGGGAACGGTCTAAAAATTTTTTTGGCCATAATAAAATGGTCCTTCGAGCTTCGCTTTGGTCTAAAATAACGGGATCCGCCACTGCGTTATACTTGAGTAAACATGAAAACTAAACTTAATATATGTGAGCTCATCATTTCACTTTCTCAGTTCTAAGTAGCCCTGTTGATGAAAGGTGTATTCACAAGTTTGAACAGAAACTCGTACTTTAGAGACGTTTGCCTGCTTTACATTTTGTCGGTAAATCAGGAATACCGCTTGCTCTGTCAGCTGGCGAACGGAGTTTCAAAAATCCCATGGGGTTGAATGCAGGAGATATTTTCTCTCTGCCTCAGTTCTTCCCCTCACCCCTCCCCCATCGTTTTCTCGTTTGACGCGGTGAGAGAACGACCCGCACAAAGCATATCCAAATCAGCTGAACAGACTATAAAGAGTAGAAACATTGCAACGCCTCAAAACACAATCCGTATTTTCTGAAGATTCCCATTGAGTCAAGGGATTTCGAATTCTACGTTGTGTAAACCTCATGAGGTGTCCAACCTCGTTCCCAGGGTGCTTCAGAAAAGGACCTCAATAGAGGAGAAGAGACTTTTGCAGCCTAACTTGTGTGTATTATCTGAAGGCAAATAAATGCAAACCTTTTTTCAATATGAAGCTTATTTGTTTCTCTATCAATACTTAGTAGCCACTTAGTTAACTCAAGCAGTATTACATGCGATTTGGACTAAACAGTTCAAACATTCGAATATCTTAAACTACGTCGAGAAAAAACCGTGATTACCGAAAATATAACGTAACTTGTAGAGCTAACCTTCTTAGCTTTATTCCATCTACCGCTCTGTATCTTCAAACCAGTTTTAATGCCATTTCGTCGACTTTATTTCAACTGAGTACTGAACTGGAAAAAAGGAAGTGCTTGTATGAGTGGTCTTGTGACATTCTTGAAATAAAGGGTATTGTGGGTGGTTTTGAGTTCACTGTTGTTCAAAGAAATTTGAAAGAAGAGCACGAGAGGCCATGGACGTATGTTTGCGATTGTCAAAGGAAAGCAACAAAAGTAGGTTCGACAGCTAGTGTGAGGAACAGTGTATTGATCATATCCCATGTTACCTTTCGGGATTGTCGCGTGCACATTTTTCCGACAACCTTTCTGTAGCTGTGTGTATCACGTACAAAGTGGAAATGGCGCAAAATGTTGGAAATGTAAGTACAAAAGTCTCTAAAGACTGAATATATTCTTGGAAACTGTAGCTTAAGATGTCTTTAAAAAGAACAAAGCCTGTAAAAGGCAAACAGTCGAACCTCCGATAAACGACCACCCGAAAAGCAAACAGTCGCTTACACAGGGGGCGGGTCTCTTCCGAGAAGATCTCCGGACATATATACTTTATGGAAGATAACAATTATCTTATTATTGATTGCATGTAAGTTCTAAGTTACGATATGCGCAGTTCCAGGTTGTTGCGAAAGTTGTTTGTTTATTCTTAGTGGTCTAGGAGGAAACTACACAGGAGGTGAACGTTTAAGAGACTTGCTACAGTTCTTTGACTGGAAAACATTTGGTGTTTTCGATAGGTGGTCGCTTACGAGTTGTCGCATTTAAAGGTTCGACTGTAGTTAAATAAAACAGGTCATCAAAAAACCTATGAAACAGAGGCTCTTGTTAGCACTAAACGGTTCAGTGTCGAGAGTCCCTAACTATGTTTATTTAGCAACATTGGTGTAAGAGATAACTAACCGGGGAAAATAAACATCCATGCAGAATATATATGCCCTTCCAAAGGCACAGTTTTATGATTGCCTAATTACATGTATTGTGTGAAACTCAAAACTCTAATAATAATATTGGTTTGTTCTTTGTCTTATAGCCTGCTCCTGACAACAATGAAAACATGTAAGTCAAACTATTGAAAACTGACTCATTGGATAATGCAATTTCTGTAAATCCTCAAATAAGCCCCATGGGGGCGGGGGGCTTATTTATTTCAAGCTCATTTGAGGGGAGGTGGGGGCTTAATAGAGGCAGGGCACTTATTTAATTTAGAAATGATGATGGTATCAGTTCTCTATAAAGAACTAGAATATAAAGTGGAAAAGCTCAGGTACAAGAAGTTGGAGGTCGTACAGTTAAGGATCAGAATCAAATCTGAACTTCCAGTTGGTAAATAAACCATCCTGGATCAGTCTGCACGAAGTTTAAGAGTTGTGATTGATAAATATACAGTCAATCATTTATTACTGAAGAATAATTATTAGAGGAGGGTGGGGGGGGCTTAATAGAGAGGGGTACTTTCTTCCCTTGAAAAGGGGGAACTTATTAGAGAGGGGGGCTTATTTGAGAGGGGGGCTCAATAGAGCATTTATATACTGCAGAGGTTTGATTGGCTGAGTCATCATGGTATATGAGCTACCCATGTTTGACAGTATATTCATAGCATCATAATATTTACGAGTCTGTCCAATATACCTTGTAACTTGTTTAATATTATTGTTCTCCACAGTAATCCGGCTCTGCAAATAGTAAGTAATAGTTTAGTTTACTTTCAGTTATAAAAAATCAGAACACATTTGAAAATATGTCCTAGGATATAATCAGGTTTAGGCATATGAAAGTGCAGGGATTTCACTAGTTGAAAAACGGTAGGGGAAATGTAGCTGTTATTTCCATCTAGAAAAAGACCTGAAAAAGCTAAAAGACACACTTTATGACTGTAAAATTACAATAAAAACTTCCTGGTTTAGTGACTTATTCATATTTAAAGACAGTACATTTGCAGCAGTTGATTTATCCTGTCCTCCAAGTGTTAGTGCACAAGATTACTGCGATAAACAACATTGGGAGAGAGAGAGGAGGGTCAAGAAGTAAAAAAAAACAACAAGCATTCACAGGGTGTAAAGAAAGTCAGTTTTACAGCTTGCCATTGGGGTAATCTGCAGCTAGCATTTACAAGCCCAAGAGTCGTTTTAACTAGCCCAAAAAATTTTTTTTGATGGTCAAGATTGATTACAGTTCTTCCGTGAATTGAATGTCCCAGAACACTTCAGAAAAGTATTCACCAGCCTGATAGCAAAATTCACCAACCCCAGATATTAGACACGAATTTCTTTGCACTCTAGCTGATTCAGTGGATGAGACTTTTTTTGTCTGATACTTTAGTAAAGTAAAAGAGGCACCATTTTTTAATAAAAGAACAAAAGGGGTAACTTTTTTTTGTTGTCAAAACGGGTATTTAACAGGGTAAGAGGTTGGACTTTTTTCGATAGAGGGGAAATGTTAAACTTAATTGGGGTAAAAAAAATAATATTCATATTTTGCAATGTAACAGTTAGGCTAACAATGCATGCCCCTTTTCACTACTGTGATAGGAGCCACTATCGAACAATGGATTTCCAGTGCGTCAATGCACAGAGCTCAACATGGAGCCCGTAAATGTTGTTTAGTAAGTGTTAAAATGTTAATAAATATATGTTGTGGTTCAATTTTATCCTCGGTTTAAATTTTATTTCCCTTTGCTTTAGGGTATATATGGTAATGTATGATAACGAGTCTAACATACAAAAGGAAATAAAATTTAAACCACAACATATATATAGATATATATATATATTTAGGTGACCAACTCAATTAGCTTAAATCCACAGTAACTGATTAAAAGAATACATGATATTTAAGTCCTCAAGCAACCTGACTAGGGTATTAATGCAATATAGTATTATTATGAAAGTGACCATGATTCATTTCATTTTTCATATAGTATTATTGCTTCTCAGAAATTATTTCATGAACATCCTGGGGTTACTGTTTTGAGCTGTAGTTCACAGATGAAACAAACATTTTATTGTTTTCAGTGGGAGAGAGCCTGCACATGTTGTGGACTTCGCAAGACTCCAAAATCTAGAAGCAGTTGTTGAAGAGGTAAGCATTTTGGTTTTCCAAATTTCCACTGT